CTGAGCCTGTTCTGTAAAAATTACAACCCCCCAGGATCAGTGGTGTTAAATTCAAATAGAATTGGGACCACTAAATTTTACATAAGGATCCCTTTGGGCCACATACTGACTTAGTTTTAAAATGTAATGTTATTTATGTTTTATTGCATTTTTATTTTGTCAAGTATTTCACAATTTTATTTTAATCTTGCTTGGGCTGTACCTGTGACACCTGTGCCCTAGATACAAAAATAAGCAGTATGTACTGCATAGCATCACTTAAGTGACAGAGACAGTTAAATTATTTGAAACTACTATTATTTGTCAGCTAATTTTTTTTCTTTTGGATTTGTCTTTTTTGGTATTTAAATTTTTTTATTTATATATATTTTTTCCCCAGGAGTATATTTTGAAAAAGTTTTAAAGAGTTCAGATACTTCCTTATGGGTGAGAAATATCCAGATGTATTTATCTGGAATTGTAGTGACATTAGCTGCTGTCTACATGTCAGATGGAGGTGAAGTTATAGAAAAAGGATTTTTCTATGGCTATACATACTACGTCTGGTTTGTTATCTGTAAGTATCCCGGGAGTTGGTTTACCTTGTTATATGTCAATTTTAAGGCTTCACAGTATTTTGAAATTATTTCTTCACTACTGTGTATAACAGTTAAAGAAAATAATTTTGATTTTATTGACTTTAGTGGTATAGCTGACTCCAAGCAATTTGTCTTCATAGTTAAAACTTATTAAAGGGAAATTCTTTGTATATTCAACAGTAAGTTATGTAGTCCCCTTGGGCATCTAAGAGGAAATCTTACTAGAAAGAAACAGTAACTTAATTTTCATTGGCATATTTGCTAGAGGTTACCTAAAATCCAAAGGTAAAATGTCTCTGAAAATTCACCACACAACAGAATATTTTGCTTAATGATGATCTTATTTCTGTTTATATCCTAGTGCTTGCCAGTGTTGGAGGACTCTATACTTCTGTTGTGGTAAAATACACAGACAACATCATGAAAGGATTTTCTGCAGCAGCAGCCATTGTCCTTTCTACTGTTGCTTCAGTCCTACTGTTTGGATTACAGATAAGTATGTCCTAAGGTTTATTGCTGCTTTCTCACATCTAATTCTAAGATTAGCTGTTTGCTGCTTCTAACAGTTGAGAATAGTATGGGTTGCACAGGTGGGAGAGGTTTTGGAACTGCTCCTGTAGTGTCAAATGAAGTGCTATCCTAGGAGCAAGAAAACTATCGTGAGCTAGCTCCAATCTGCTGAGTTGGTAGCTTTAGAGAGCCTTTGGTTGCAAAGTTAAACTTTTCCTCTTTTCCATCCCTAAGAAAGACCCTGCAACACAAATACTGTTAGTGTAGTTAGAAAGAATCCTAGATTTGGAGTAAGAGATATGGATTCATATCCTGACTCTGCTTGTTGCCTCAACAAGTCGCTTCCTCATCTATAAAATGAGAGATCCTAGAGGCTTTTGACTATTGCTATTGTAGTGATGAGTAAAATAAAAAGTGGTCACAAGGAAATGTTTTTTGCAATAGCTTAACTCAAATCATTGAAAAAAGTCAAACAGAAAAGTGTAAGTCACCTTACTCTGAATCTTTAAAGCTTGTTTCTTTGAATATCTTAATCTAATAATTAGAGGCTTTTGGAAACACAACCTAAACCAGAATTTTATTTTCTCTTTGAGACACATTGTTAGATGTCAATTTTACGTATAGTACATAAAAATAAAAAAAATACCTAATTCGTAACTACTAGGGTCATTCTGTCACCACTCTTATAATAGCCCATTTAATAAAGGTTTTTTTTTTAATAGTCCATATCCAGTATTAAAACAGCTTCTGATTTAAGCAACAAGGCTGACATTACAAAAGCCTTTTTTATATGTTATGCTGTAATAATTTTCCTTCCTGGATATTTGTTATGATAGCAGATTAATTTGTCATGAAATCCTACAGTAACGAAAGGAAGAAAACTGGCCAATTTTTAATGTATTGGCATAAACATACCAGGTGGCTCTTGGTATTGATGAACTTCTACAGATTAATTTATAGAAAGGACTTCACATTATGGGAATCCTGAATAAAAGCTATATAGAGGCTAATTGTTATTTTCATAATTCAGGTGTTAGAAGATTTTTTATTTCATTGGTATAGGGAGTTCTTGACAAAGAAAGGTCCTCTACTAATGAAGAGAAGTACCTTTTCTGAAACGTCATCAAGGTTGCTTGATGAGAGGTTAAAGTGATTTATCCAGGTGACCAGAGACAGTATATGTCAGACAGGAATTGAACTTGGGTCTTCCTGACCTTTAGATATCATTTGAGGTCACTGCTACCCTCTCAGTATCGTACGAGGTTTCTTATACCATTTTTTTTTCCTGTTCAAATGTTTTTAATCATAATTCTCACCTGTTACTACCTTCATGACAAAGAAATATTTGAAGAAGGCTGATAAAAATCTAGTTCTGTAGTAATAATAAGATTGCTTGTCCCTGGCAGTTGTTAGAACATGGATAGAACACTTAATGTGACACCTGACAGGGATAGCCTTTGCTTATGTTCCTCTCACCTAGGGAAGTTCAAGAAAAGTACACAGAATGTCAATCATTTTCTCTTTTAATCTCTACTTAATGGGTGGCAGTTTTGAAGATGGCCAGGTACTAAGGTAAAACTGGTATTTAACAATAAGTCTTCTTCTCTGAATGTCACTATTGTCAGCATAAAGATTTAACCAAAATGAACCTTTGTTGGATTTTTACATTTGTTGGGCTTTTAAAATTCTGTCTTGACCACTGATGGTTCATTTTATTCCTTGGAATCCAGGTTTAAGATGGAAAAGCCTGGACTGATATAAGTTATGATTACCACACTCTGCATTTATCTAGTCAAATAACTAGTGGAAGTCCTTTGAAGTTTCCCCCGTATAGAGTGAAGAAGCAATTAATCCATGGTGTGGTGCTTAAATACCTGGAGGATCTTGTGACTTTGTTAAGTGTGGTCAGCTCCGGTAATTAGCCTTTGTAGGAATAATTCTATAGGAAGTTGCCATGGCATATAGAGGTTAAGTGACTTGCCTAAAATCACATAGATATCAAAGCACAAACAAACATGTTAAGTTCCCTCTTTATTTGTGACACAGTAGAAGGGTCAAAATATATTGTTGTTTGAAAAATTGATAGTTAGCGACTGTTTCTAGTGTTATTTGGCCACTGGTGGACAAATGTTTATTTTAAAAGTGCTGAGTTATTAAAACCAAACTATTTCTTGTCTAGTTTGAAAGCTGGAAAACTACACAAAAGATTTTAAGAAATGTTTAGTGAAAAAAGTGACTTAAGAAATCAGTAATGAAATTGTTTTGTTTTCTTTCAGCACTCAACTTTGCTTTGGGTACCCTTCTTGTGTGTGTTTCAATATATCTTTATGGATTACCCAGACAAGATACAACAGTAATCCAAGTAGAAGAAACTGCTTCAAAAGAGAAACTCATTCACATGTGATGTTGTTTCTAAGATTAAAACATTTATATTAAAACAAAACAAACAAACAAAAACTATAGCCTTAAGCTAATCCTAGAAGGTAGCTTTAACAAAACAAAAAAATTGAATGTATGGCATGAAAACTTACTTCTACTTAGTTAAGGAATGTGTTGCCAACATGAAAAGGGGCTCACTTTGTACAATTTTAGGAAAACAGGAATTAATGTACATAATGTACATAAAAAGAATTTTAGTGCTTTAAAAAAATAATGTGGGGTGTGGTTCTAGATGATGTTTTAAAGTGCCAAAGTTTTTTCTGCACTAATGGGACTCTTGGTCAAGAGAAAATCCCTCTCCACCTTGCAATGCATGTAATCTTATTCCAACAGAGGCTTAGGCCTCCTGCAAATAAGATGCATAAGCAGGATGGGTCAATTCAGAAACAGACTGAACATGTTATTTCCTCTTAGACTGAATCCACTTGGTGACTCTAATTATATCTAGGTGGTGACTTAGTGCTTCTTTAGCACTGTATCTGTGCCATTAGTAATCTCAATTCCAATTTTTCTTCATAAAACTTTTTATGTCACTTTTGTACTCTTTTATAAAATGATCAGCTGTTGGATTCATCAAGAGTAATTTGTGAAACCAGTGGTTTTTTTTTTTTAATCTCCATAATGTTCATGGGGAATTCAGCAATAAACCTAATTTATTTACATAATCCTTATGCCTAATCTTTAGAGAGAGTGTGTGAGTGTATGTACATATTTATCTCCCATTAAGATTATGTAAGAAAATGCTTTGTCATTATTATAGTTTTTCACCCCAGACTGGCTTTGGTATTCACTATGCCAACTGTTCTCAGCATGGTTATTAAGGGCTGACTTTCTATACTAGGCCCAGACATTTCACATTTTGAGAGAGAAAGTATAATCACTATGTGCAGATACTGGATAAACACAAATTTTGTTTTATATGAAACTATCAGACCAATGAGATGCTTAAGTATCTGGGCTACCTGAATTACTATTTCTTACTTTCTCCTATCTACCATTTAACTGTTAAAGAGATTGTGGAAAAGTGTGAAGTTGAGCCCAGACTATATACACACACACAATTTTGAAACTGGGTTTAGATTATAGACTTAAGTCTATAGATACACAGGTTCTATATATAGATAAAAATGGTCTGAGCCCAATTTCATAAACAATTTGGTAAATGTGTCTCAGTTTTCTTGCTGCCTAGGTCCAATGAATGAATGAGCAATTTATTAAGCGCTTACTATGGGCAAAGTACTGTGCTATGCGTTGAGTATACAAAGAGAAAAATGTAGACAGTTTCTACACTCAAAGGGCTCCATCCTATTGGGAAGAAACAATACTTATAGGAGGTTAATGACTTAGTTAGAAGGTCCCATCGTCCTTGTGATGCAGTGGAAAAAGGCAAACAGTTAGGTTCCTTTGCTAAAAAATAAAAAATATTGACAGTAAAACGATAGGAACTCTTAAACACAAATTCAGACTTATAAATGTGGATTTTGACACAGGTAAAATTTTATATTAAATTCCTTTTCATTTGCAACTGTAAAACAGATCACTGGGATTCCACTGTTTTTTCTTTACAAATTACATCCTAGATACAGGTGTGATTCCAAGAAGTTTCATTCCATTGGCTAGGACAGAACGAACAGCTCTAAAAAGATGAAGTCTGGCCTATAAAACAAAAGTCAAAGTATCAATAGTTGTTTTACCTGTAGATAGGTTGTTGGCAATTGCACTTGGCAAAGAGATTTTTGTGAAACAGCAAAGATGAACTGATTACAACCCTTAAAAAAAACAAACTTCAGGGGCTCAATTTCCAATACAAAAATTAATATGAATAGCTTTGTTGTAATAATATTGCCATTCCTGAACTATGAGATCCTTGGAGGATGTTTCCCAACATCTCCAGTAAGAAGTAGGCTTTCAAAAGCATAATTAAATTGTTTAAAAATCAGAAAGACAAAGGAACAATATATGGGCAGAATCATTTTAGAAAAGTCTGTACCACATATTAAAGCTTCTGAGTTCCACTGTATTAACTAGATATTGTGTAGAAAATAATAGAAAACCCAAGTGATAAAGTAGTAACAAACCTCAGCTACTTCAGGGAGCCTGCCTTTTATATACAGTGTTTTGTGAGCCACAGCTGTAAGATGACTGAAACAGGAAGAGAGAAAAGTGTAGTTATAAGGAGCATTTCAATGAATATTACTGTTGGAAACAACCTTATCATGCTACAGAACATTCTTGGGCCCATAATTACTGCCATTCCTATAAATCAAGGGAATTTGAGTGAAACCAAGGAAATTATATAATTATACTTTCTTAACAAAAAATGATCCCACCTGTATTCTCACTACATAATTTTCATACAGAAAAATGATTAGCAATGACTCCCCCTTCATTACTATTCACTTTTCACAGAACAGCTTGAGAAACTGATGTAACCTTAATAACCTCACTTTTTTGGGGGGGGGGGAAGATGATCAAGATATTAAATGACTTAAACAAAGTTACACAGCTTTGGCAGAGGTAGGACTAGATCCTGTGCAATGCTTTCCAAAGTGAAAAGTCAGTAAGTTCTTTTTTGAAGGGTAATGGGCTACTTTGTCTTTGTTCAGGTGTCTTCACCTCCCACCCCCCAATTTAAAATATGGAGCAATTTATCTGCCCAGGTGTGTAGGTTGCTGTGCATGCTAAATGGGTAAAATAACTATTCACATTTATTTAAGTCTGTCAAACAATTACCTGTAATCATTTAGTTCTTACTCAGCCCACTTAAAAGAGCAAACTACTTTTTCCACTATAGTTCACTCTTCTCACTTCCTAAAACACCAAAACCAAAACATTTGCTTCTCTGAGATTCTTTGTTTAGGTATATCATCAAACAGAAGCCTATTTCAAGATTTCTAACTGTGTAAATCATCCTTAAGCAATAGTTAATTAAAAAAAAAATTCACGTAGCCTTGCTCATAACTGTTATGCTTTGCATAAATCCCTAAATGTTAGTGTTAAATTTCAACTACCAAGTGGAATTTTTTTAAAAAGTCAACTGAAACATGAAGAAGGAAGAAGAAATATATTTCTATAACCAAGGCATGTATCAAAACATCTGCTTTTCCCTTTTGTCTTCTGTAATACTGCTTTTATCAGAAGAAATGATTATTTTTTACAAGACTGGACTCAACCTTTGTTCAAAATTTGTCCAAGAGTTTATAACAGTCTAGGTGGTTCTGATAGACAAGAGATCTTTAGTAGAATGCCAAGGAAATACATTATATCATAAGCTTATCTGACTGCAAAGATGAAATAAACACCATCTCCCACCTCCATGATTTTGAGAATATCCTCTAAGATCTAAGCTAAAGGGCTTATTTACTAGAGGTCTTTGGCTGAAAGATCTCTGGTAAAACTAGACTCTGGCTTAAGAAAACACATCTGTAACCTGAGTATCCTCAATGATAGTGACATGTAGGGTTTTGAAAAGTGCTTCAAAGTAAGAACCTAATGGGCATGAAGGGTCTGAGATTTTTTAAGACTATATTCTCTCTGTTTTTTTTTTTGGCTAAGCAATGGGGTTAAGTGATTTGCCCAGGGTCACATAGCCAGTAAGTGTCAAGTGTCTACGGCCGGATTTAAACTTGAGTTCCCCTGACTCCAAGGCCGAGCTCTATCCAATGCACCACCTAGATGCCCCTATATTCTATATTTCTAAAACAGAGATCATCAAAGGTTCTATCAACCAATCATTGGAAGCAAGATTAGACCCTCCCAACACTGTGGTCTGGTCACGTGAGGTAAATTTCTCTGGTTCTCCTATTTTTGTGGATTAAAAGGCACTCGGCAAGAAAAGTGTCTCATTACCTCAGTGTTAAAAGATAGCTGACAATATGCCTGGGCTGAAGATCCTGAGAGGATTTATAAAGTACCTCATCATACCTAAGAAAAAAGATGAAAAGAATAGGTTCAAGAAATGATCACTGTCATTCTGTTAGGGCCTATTCTAGTCCTTGGCCATAATCTTTTGATCCACCTCATTGATGCAAGAGACCCCAACATATGAAATACTAACAAAAGTTCCAAATGAGTATTAGCTTGTTTACTGTACCTACCACATGCTTTAGAGCTTAGGTGGTTATGAATAACAAAATATGGCCCTTCCATTCTTTGTTTTGATACAACCCTGTTATGACCTAATGATCACTTGTGCACAGGATAACCTGTGCTCTGCAGAGTTTCTCAGCCTGTGCCATGAAAAGGCTTTTATTTTGATGAGAAAAGGTGATGGGGCAAGTCCAGTTCTTTTCTCCCCTTCCTTTTCTCTCTCTTTTGTCCCATAAACCAATTACTGTGTTCAAATATCCTTAAGTATAGATCCAGAAACAAAGACAATTACAGTGTTCCATTGGAACCACTGTGAAGTAATACAAAATGGCCAACAACTTTCAGAGAAGGGATGCTGGCTATACAAGAAAGGAGAAAGCTGGGAAGCACTTTGGAGCCACTGTACTCCAAACATGCTATGAATCACGCTAGACACTGATATAAGAGATTTGTAACACCTCCTTCTTAACATCAACTGTATGGAATATCCTACAATTAACCTTTTGGATACATAATTATGTCTAGAGGTATATTTGCTTTTCTCTTTCCTAATGAAGATGCTGATTTACCAGAGAATCACTCATTTGAAAGACTTGACACTAAATGTAGGAATTTTAATGGGTGGGAGAACTTGATCAATCCTTTTCATTTTAAGGGAAAAAACCCTATGAGCCACAGAAACTACCAATAGATGTGCTAATTTAAGCTAACTAGGAATCTTGAAACAATCAATTAGAAATTTAATTTATTTTAGCTGCATGGAGACTTAGCACTGCCAAAAGGGGAGGCTGTAAACTAACTTATGCACTTTAGCAAGGCTATATTTTTCCTACTTGGGTAAAAAGCCATTGCTCAATCTCAGGAAATATCCTCTGCTCTACTGTACCCAAGAAAACTAAGGGAGGTCTTTTGCTTACCAATATGCTGTTAGGTTCTGCATACATAAAAGCACTTCTAATGACCTGTAGCCTCAAACTTTCTATACAGTTTTTTTCAGTACCTGCAGGGGGAAAACTACTTCCAGTCAGGACATCATTCCCAGGATAACTGCTATGAGAAGGCATTGTTCCTGGCCATTTACAGCATTTTCCCTTTTCTAGAATATACTTTGGTTTGTTTTTAAGTGGGAAAACTGATTTACACATACAAGAATGGGGCTCAAGATCCAGAAGAGCTGATATGGGATAGAGAGCACAGCTAGTTGTGGCAATAACCTGTCAGGAATAACCAATCCTATTTAAGGGCAGGAATTTACACCCATGAGGAATGAACCAGTATCTTAAAAATACATTTGAGATTTAAAAAAAAGATAGATAACTACCTCTTCATGACAATTTTAGGTGCAGCCCTCTTAGAGGCATGAGAAATGGAGTAGATGACCTACATATGTTCAAGAGAACACTACTGGTAATTCCAACTAACAGAAACATACACTTTTACACTGAAAATTACCTGAGGAGATGTTGGAGTATGGAAACAGACTGTGGGTCTTGTAAGCAAGCTGCATTGATGTTTCCCAGATGACCACATTCAAATGTCTCTTCTAAACTACAATTCAAGAGAGCAAAATCAGAAGGAAAAGAATACATAGGAATTAAAGATAGCCATATAGTTAATTTGCTACTGACGCATCACAATAAGCTCAATTCAACAAATTTTTATCAAGTACCTACTACACATCAGAAACTTACCCTCTAATATGGGCAAAAACATTAAAGAATATAAAAAAGGTTTGTGAGAGGCACAAAGTATAATGGCAACCACATTTTTATGTAATGTTTTAGGATTTTTTTTCCAATTAAATTTTCTTTTTTTCAATTAAACAAGCATTTATTTTTTATCCTCTCCTCCTTTCCCTCCTCCCAAGTCTACTGGCTTGGACCAATTGATAACTCCCTCAATAATGTATTAATGTGCTTGTTTTTCCTCATCTTTTCCAGTATTTGTCATCAACCTTAATTCTATGTCATTAACCTATGTTATTAACTCTGCCAATCTGATGGGTGGGAGGTGGAACCTCAGAGGTGCTTTAACTTTCCTTTCTCTCATTTCTGGTGATACAGAGTATTTTTTCATATGGTTATAGATTGGATTTCTTCCTGAGAAACATCCATTAACCACTTATCAACTGGGTAATGGTTCATATAAATTTCAATGAGTTCCTGACATATCTTGAAAATTAGACCTTTATCAGAGAAACCTGCTTTAACCTTTTAAACTTCCTCCACTCCCAGCCCTCCTACCAGTTAACCATTCCTCTTCTAATTGGAGCTGCACTGGTTTTGTTCGTGCAAAGAGTTTTAATTTTATGTAATAAAAGTTGTCTTTCATCTTCTGTGATCATATCTACCCCTTGTTTGATTATGAACTCTTCTTCTATCCATATGAAAGGCAATTTCTTGCTCTTCTAACTTGTTTATGATGCGACCTTTTTATGTCTAAGTCATATTTTCATTTGCAGCATTTCTTGGTGTATGGTATGAAGTACTGGTCTAAAACCTAACTCGTCAAACTTTGCAAGTTTGCCAAGCAGTTTTTATTGATTAGTGAGTCTTTACTCCAATAGCTGGGGTCTTCAGGTTTATGGGTCACTAAGCTACTAGATTCATTTGTTTCTGTACGTTGTGTACTTAATCTGTTCCACTGATACACATTTTTATTTCTTAATCAATTATTTTTATGATTGTTTCTTTGTAGTATAGTTTGAGATCTGGGACTGCTAGGCTTCCTCCTTCACTTTTTTCCCCCCATTATTTCTCCTGAGATTCTTGATCTTTTGTTTCTCCGTATGAATTTCATTATTTTTCTTGGCTCTATAAAGTAATACTTTGGTAGTTTCAATGGAATAAGTAAATTGAGTTAGGGAGCACTGTCATTTTTATTACATTGGTTTGACCTACCCACAAGCAATTAATAATTTCTCCAATTATTTAGGTACGAATTCTTGAGTGTAATGTGTTTTGTAATTGTACTTACATAGTTCCTATGAGTGTCTGTTGGCAGATAGACTCCCAAATATTTTATACATTCTGTAGTAATTTTAAATGGAATTTCTCTTCTTCATATTGAGTTTTGTTGGTAACATACAGAAATACTAATGATCTGAGGGTTTTTTTTAAAAATACTGCAACTTGGCAAAAGTTACTGTTTCAATTAATTATCTAGTTAATGCTTTAGGGTTCTCTAAGTAAACCACATCATTTGCAAAAAGTAACATTGTTTTCTCTTTGCCTGTTCATATTTCCTAAATTTCTTTTTCTTGTGCTATTGCTATCACTAGCATTTCTAGCATTGTATCAAAAAGTAGTGGGGATTATGGACATCCTTGCTTTACTCCTATTCTTAGTGGAAAGGTTTTTAGTTTATATCCCCATTACATATAATCATACATCTCATATAATGCTGGTTCTTGATTTTAAGATACTACGTACCACATTAAAGAAAGGCCCACTTACTGATAGTTTTCATCATATTGAATCAACCATGCATTCCTGGTATTAATTTAACCTGACTGCAGTATATAATCTTTTTGATATGTTGTTGTAGTCTCTTTTAATCCATCCCTTCATCTTTCCCCCCTTTCTCTTCTCTTCCCATCCCCTCCTATTTCTCTGCTGAATTCAATTTATCTACCATCCTTTGAACAATTCAGATCAAAGTGAGATTCAAATGATGCCTGATCTACCCACTCCTTCTTCCCTCATTTATACAGACTTCTACTTGGGTACCCCAACTATGTGAGTCAATAAATCTCTCTTAGCCTCCCCCTTCTTCTGTTTCTTTTCCCCTCCGCCAGAAAATGACTCCCAGGAACTCTGCCTTATTTATCCTCTGTAAAGCCATTTGTTCTCTTCTTATTCTTTTGCTGCTTAAGCCTTTCAAAAGGGTCAGCTCTTAAATGGGCCCTTACTGCTACATATCAATCCTTCTATTCTTTCCTAATTCCTAATCCCACTTCCCTAGGTGGCTGTTTCTTTTGTTTCCTTAAACCTCCCACGTCATTCCCGTAACCATGCAGGCAGAGGTTATCATGATATTGAGAAAATAGAGGCCATTTATTGTGAATTTCCTTCCTATTTTATATCACTCATTTTCTCATCTTTTGCTCCAGGATCTGCTAAGATGGCCCACCTTGTGTCCTTGATCCCATACCAATTCCTGTACCCTTTAGAAAATTTATTTTTTGCTTTATTGTTAATCTCTCCTTATCTATTGGATTCTTCCATGCTACCCACAAACATACCCAGGTTTTTCCCATCCTTGAAAAACCTTGTCCCTGCCATTTAAAGCTATCTACCCCATTCTCCCTCACCCTATATATCCAATCAGGTAGAAATCCTGTCGGTTTTTTTTTTTTAACCTCCACAGCATCTCTAGCATCTGATCCTTTCTCTTTCCTCACAAAGATAGCACTCTAGTGTAGGCCCTCCTCTCTTGCTAAGACTATTGCAATGGCTTTCAAATTGAGATCCCTCCCTCAAGCCTTTACCCATTTTAGCCCTATTTCACACAGCTGCTGAAGTGATTTTTTTTGACTACTTCTGATTATGTCGCCTCCCTATTTTATTGACTCTGGGGGCACCTCCTTGTTTCTAGGATCAAACATAAAGTCTTTTTCTAGATGGCCTTTTAAATCAGTCACAATCTGGTCTCAACCTATCTTTCCAGCCCCATTATACATTACTCTATGCTTGGAAAGACTCCCTCTTTATCTTTGTGGCCCAGGATCTATCACTTACTCTAAGACAACTGGAGCACCACATCTTGAGCTTACAAAGTCTTTCCAACTACTACTGCCTTCCTTAACTACTTTGTATTTATCCTGCATAGATTTTTCCTCTATATTCTTACACATATATATATATGTCCTCCCTGATAAAATGTAAGCAGCTCCTTGAGAGCAGAGACTGCTTCACTTTTGTCTTTGTATCCTCAGTATCTAGTAGAGTCCTTAGCACATAGTAGGCACTTTATAAATGTTAGCTGATTAGGCTACCATTCTTCATCTCTCTTCTTTTTCACAACCAAACTCCAAGAAAAAGCTACCTTTACTCACCTACCTCTATTTCCTTTCCTCCCATTTACGTCTCAACCTCTTTCAGTCTAGAATCTAAGTTCACCATTTAACTGAAACTGCTCTCTCCAAGATTACCCATGATTTTTAACTGATAAATTCTGAGCTTACCATAGGCTTTCTTGTAGTATTTAACACTTTACCACCCTCTTGTGAATACTCTCTTCTCCCTGGGTTTTGATGACACCACTCTCTCTAAATTGTTGCTCTTCCCTGACTTTTTATTGGATCATTCATATCTTGTCTTTGTAACCATGAATATCCCCTAAATTACTGTAGGTCCTCTTCTTTTCATTTTCTCTATACCAGGGGTTCTTGAACTTTTTTTGTACCAGGGGTCTGGTAATATTTACGGACTTTCCAGCCAAAGTACATGTACACTACAAACTACAAAGAACAGCTACTTGTTATCTTCCTAACTTCACACTCCATCTCTTGCCCCTGAAATATTTTTACAGGCTGTTCGTCATTCCTAGAATGTGCCCTTTTCTCTAAGACAGCTCTTAGAATCCCTAACTTCCTCTAGGTTCAGCTCATGTGCTTGCTAAGGGGATGGTGTTCCTGATCCCTTTATTTTTTAGTGGTCATTCCTGTTTCAGATTACTATAGACACACACACACACACACACACACACAGTATCCTTCAAGACAATGCAAGTTCCTTGAGGGTAGAGACAGTTTTTCATTTTGACTTTGTGTCCTCAGTGCCTGTCATAGCATCTTACAAATATCAGAGGTGTTAAATAGTAAATGACTAGAGAAGAAATGAAAATAGTTTTGAAATCAGGAAAGTGAAGCTAGAATACAACACTGCTATATTTTTTTTTCCTTGAAGAACTATCAAATCCAATACTTGCTTATGGGGGCAGGTAGGGAAGCTGTCATCAAGGATCCCCCCAAACAGCTCAGGCATTCTGACTCAAAGGGAGCACTCCAGACTCTGATGGATGGAGTTGTTTGATCTAGAAAATTCTTTGGAATTCTGTTATGTTCTGCTTCAGGGTCTCGTACAAATAGTTTTCATTTTGTTTTTTACTCCTTTTAGTCTAAGACCTAGACATGCTTCTAAGAAATATGATAAGCTAAAGCTCAATAAATTACCATATGTTTAGGACACAAATAACATTCGCTTTACTGCTTTAGCTTTTAAATTGGGAATTCTTTGACTTTCCTTACATTCTTTCGTTTTAGTCTTCCCACTTCCATTCCTTTTCCCTCACTCCATTACTGACTACTAGTGCTATTTAAAGGATAACCATTTGAGGGCAAGTAAGCAATTCAACATTTTTTTTTTTTATTTTCCAAGGTGTAGAAGAAGCCTGAAATAACATGAATTTGGAGATACAATGGACTAAATCATGTACTCCAAAAACAACAACCACATATAATAATAAAAGTCAGTTATCCTATAAATTACAGCTGTTGGTCCAGGCCCAAAAATTAGTGATGGGAAGTTTAGAAACACAGAATGAAAGGAACCTGTTCTTAGAAGGGTACAACAGCAGATTACTAAAATTGGGGGGGAAGGACACAAGAGGAGGATAGAGAAGAGGGACATTTTCCCAGGAACCTCAGCTTACCTAGACAGCCTGGCATGTGTGTACTGCAGGAAAACACCTGTATCACCTCTACTCTGAAAAACTCGGTCCCAATTAAACTTATAATCGGACAACAGGTAACCTTTGAAGTCCTGAAAGGATAAAGAAGAACTATGCAGCTTCGTTTCTAGCAACAAAAGAAAGGTTTTCACAAGTGTCAGTCTTTGAGAAGGGGATGCACAATTTCAACCGACCTGAATAATGAGTGCTGCAAGTCCAACTCTTTCTGCAATCTCATGTGGATTTTCCAGGTCTTTAGTTGCTATAAAATATTGACAGACAAAAGCTAGTGGATTTAATGTATATGACACTGTGCCAGACAATTTAAGTGGAGAATATAATTTGCCTAAAATGTATGTGAATAGGAAACTAGCAAGAACAAATAGGTCCACAGTGAGTAATTTATTTACTTTCTTATATTAGCAATTGGTCTTAAATTAGACCAATCTGACTATAGTTAATAAATCATATTTCATTTGCTAGGAATTGGAATCAGTATTCAATGGTAAGTAAAATATTACTATTTTTATTTCTTCAAATTACTTTTTTGTTAAACTGTATGATAACACAAGAGTCACTCATTTTTCTAAGAGAAAAGATAAAATTAAGACATAAGGTATTGTGATTAGCAAAACTGTAAACCACAGAATCTTCAGAAAGCTCTTGTGGAAATTAAAGCAGACTGAAGCTACCTCTATAGGTGTGATAGTTACTTCAGAGTTCATGTTACTTCCCTTGAGCTTATCTGCAAAACTTCTGGTATCTTGAACTGATGGAGCTACTCTGATAATTAGTTAATTATGCTAAATAATATACTTTCATGTAGTAATCACAACAGATCAATTTTGGGTATAGTAACATTTAAAAAGATGTAAACTCACTCTTGGAAAAAGCCATGTTTTCTAGCATCCTCGAGCGAGTTTCATTTATAACATCCTCCAGAAAAGTAACTTCTCCTCTTCGAGTCTTCATTCCCTGCACCACGCCAAAGGGAACATGCTGACACCTGAAGAGGAAGACAGGAGCTGAACTTTCATACCTTTTACTTAGTACAGACAACTGAGTTAATTTAGCTAAGGAATTTAAAAGTATTAGGAAGGAAACTCTCCTTAACATGCAGAGATCAAGGTTTTCAATAACCCCATTTTGGAAATTAGCAGAAGGAACTGAAAACATTGAACAACTGAATAAAAAACAAACAAACCCTGCTCACTTAAAATTAGTCATCATGCATACTGAAGTAATGCATAACATAATATGAAGAACTTCATTTATGTAGGCAAAAAGAGATGAAAGCTTTAAAAGCCAAGCAACTGAGAGTAGTGAAAAGTCAAATTCATGTAAAATAATAACTGCTGGTCAAAGCATAAGAACAGACATTTCCTCAAAAGAACTGTCAACTATTAAAAGTTTTATGAAAGATCGTTCCAAAAAACTAATAAAAGAACTGCAAATCAAAATAGCCCTTAAGTTTCAGTAACCCAGAAAAGTAGAAAGATGACAAAAGATGGGAATAATCAATGTTGGAGGGGTTGCGGGAAGACAGGCATACTAATTGTGAGTTGGTCCAACCACCCTGGAAAGTTGATTGGAATTACACTAAATGACTAAAACGTTTATACTTTTAGCCTAGAGAGGATACTCCCAGGCATTTATCCCCAAGGAGGTAAGTGATAAAAAGAAAGGTACCATATACATCAAATTATTTATAGGAGCAATATTAGTAATAGCAAAGAACAAAGTAGATGCCCATTGATCAGGGAATGTTTAAACAAACTGGTACATGAATAATCTATTACTACCCTGTAAGAAACAAGGACTATGATGAATACAGAGAAATATGGGAAGTTATATGACCTGATGCAAAATGAAATAAGGAGGCAATATGCAAAAAAATGACTCCAGCAACGAAAATGGAAAGAACAGCAAAAAGACTGAAACTGAATGCTATGAAATTATAATGACCATCTTGGCCCCAAAGAAGATAAATGAAAATGAACCTCCACCCATCCTCTATTCATTGTAAAGGCAGAGGACTAGGTTGAGGATGAACATTACAAATGCTTGGCTGATGTGTTTGGTTAGTTTTGCTGAATTCTTTTTTTTCCCATCTTATTCTTTGTTATAAAAGGTGGTTCATTCTCTGTATTGAGAAATGCAAGTGATATAAAAACAAAAGATGTTAATAAAAATAATACTTTGAAGTCAGAAATATAGCCACAATATAAAAAAAAGATATACACAAAATTTAAAATACTCAATCTCTATGGGAGCTCTTAACCTAAAAAGTAAAGTTTGACTTCAGATCTTTAATAATTCATCAAAGAATAGTTACTGTTAGCCTTATTTGCTATCCAAAGCTTAGAAATATATTACTTACATAGGTAGACATTACCTTTCTGCCCATTCATATCCCATGAGCCTCAGAATTTGAAATACTTGATGAAAATGATTTTGTTGGCCTTTATCTGTCTTGGAAAGAAAATAATTTAGAAAAGGGAGCATTTCAAATTTAATCTAAAACAAACAAACAAAAAAAAAACTAAAAAAATTTAACATATCTCACTAAACAATAACAGTGACAAAAATTAGTGTATTGGTCAATAAGTAGATAATTGTGTACACATACATGCAGTGTAGCAATGTAGCAAAGCATGATGGTGAAACAAGACAAAAACCATGGAACTCTACAGAGTAACCTTGAGTAATATCTTAAGATTTACATTTTTAAGAGGGAGACCACAGCAAAGGAGTTCTGAAGTTTTAGTGTTAAAGACCAACTCTTTTGGGGATGGCAAGAGAAGAGAAACTGTAGGAGGTGAAGGAATCTTCAGAATGGCGAAGAAATAAGAATGAAGACTAACTGGGCTGAAGTTATATAAAAGATAAAAGTACAATTTTCAACAGAACAGGAGTTCTTAACCATTTTTGTGTCATGGAACCCATTTTTAGCAGTCTGGTTAAATCCAGGAACCCCTTTTTAGAAAAATGAATAAATGTGTAAGATTTTACAAAGGACAGTAATTATATTGAAATATAGTTAATAACATATTTTTAAAAAGTTAATGGACCTATTCCCTCTCCAAAGGGAATGTGTACCCCTGATTAAGAACCTCTGCTCTAGAGTAAAACTACATGATACAATGGAAAAGGTGATATATTCGCAATGCTATTTCAAACTGCAGTAAAATTTCATTTTAATGAAGGAAAAGGGATTACTTTTTTAAAGCTTTCTTTAAAAATTGCTGTCTAAATATGCTTGGTATCACATTGTTCCTGTAGCGATCTAATACACTAGGCAGAAATTAATCTCTTTCACTGCTTTCCAGAATGGCTCCAAAGGCCCACTTGCATAATTGATGTTTATGAGGAAGGAATTCCAGCCTTCTACTCTTTATTTTGTTTACTTACCACATATATCATTGAATCAAAATTATATTTGTTCATTCGATCAATAGCAGCTGCAAGATCTCTGAAAAATGAATTCATAAATTAGAAGTTTCTTAGATCTTTGTACTTCTAACAACATTCTTTAGATCTAAAAAAAAAAAAAAAAAAAAAAGCTAAATGCTTTAGGGCAGGAATGGAGAACCTACAGCCTTAAGACCACATTTGGCCTTCTAGGTCGTCAGGTGCAGCCTTTCCACCAAGTCCAAGTTTTACAGAACAAATCCTTTTATTAAGGGAATTTGTTCTATGAAGTTTGGATTCAGTCAAAGGGCTGCAATTGAGGACCTAAAGGGCCACATGTGGCCTCGAGGCTGCAGGTTCCTCACCCCTTCTTTAGGGGATGTGAAGCAACTTTTCAGGAATGCCAAATGTACCACCAAATGCAAATCTGGGGGCCCTCAAACTTACGATGTAGGTGAATGTTTAAGAAAGGATATGAAACCAGATAAAACTCCAAGGAGATTTTACAATCACCTACTTATGATTTCTTTCCTTTTTTTCTCAAGTGAAAATTAGGGGAAAAAAATAAGTAAAAAAAGCTAAACCGCAATTCCTTGACTACTGTTTTGCCAGTATTAACAATGACTTCTAAAGTTATGTCATTAGAAAAGGTAGGCATTCTTAACTGAATATAGTGAATATTAGTTTCTTTGGCAAAGACCTCACTTATGTATAAAGTACAGAGGTGATGTTCATAATGGACATAATGAAAAGTGAATTGCAAATTGTAAACTTTTAAGTAGAGTTTTTTAAGTTATTGACACATTCTTAGATTTTTTATTAAAATGGCATTCAATACATAAAATATCTCAAAAAGAGGGATAAAGGCAAAAGAAATAGAAACCTCCTAATAAAGTCAAAGATAAAGGGAAGCAATTTAAGAAAAGGTACTATGTTAAATTGACAGAACTTTCTGAACTTGATGAGACTTGAGAAATCTTTTGAATTTAACCCTTAAATTTTTTAGATTAATAAGTTAAGGCCTAGAAAAGTTATACAACTTGCTCAAAATCACACAGTTAGTAATGGTAAAGATGAAGCGAGAACCTAGTTGTTTTAATTCCTAGCGTAGTGCTTTGCTTGAGGTATAACATGCTACTTTTCTTATCAGAAGTGACTGTTTCAATACATATCGAAAACCAGCATGGCAGAGTAAAGTAAAGTAAAACTGGTGATGGAGTCAGGAAGACCTGGATTCAAATCTTGCTCCTGACATGTACTAGGGAAGTCCCTCTCTCAGGGCCCCAAGGCAGCTCAGACACATCACAGGGATGATGCCAACCTGCACTGGAAAAGAAAAGTGTGTGCATGTGCATGCGTGCGTGCGTGCATGTGTGTATACAGATATATATCTATAGCTATGTATCTCCTATTTTATATTTATCTTAATAAACTAATATGTATTTATTTAAATATATATTTTTATTTATATGTATATTTATATTTTATATATACACAGGTAAATCTATATGGCATACAAATATATTAAGAAATGGAATTCCCATTGACATGAGAAAGCAAGATATAGACTGTTGTCTAAAGCAAAGATAAAAATGAAGAGATTATTTGTTGAGAGCTATTTCGAATCACCAGTGAGAAAAACTTGGTTAAAGTATATTGAAGAAGTTGTATGTGCCCTCATATCAAAACATAGCCCCATAAACAGAGGGCTTACTGCAGCTGTATTGTATTAATTTTATTGGTATTCTATTTTCTTCTCTTTTCTGTTTGCACTACCCCAGAACTAAGTGAGCTCAATAAACTCAGCTCATTAACTTTTAATAAACAATTGTCATGAAGTTTTATTCTAATGGGTGATGGCAAAGAATGAAAATGAAGGAAAAAAGTGATGGTGACATCCACCTTAACCATTATTTATATCACTACAATAAGAAAGGACCCTCAAATCATGTATTGTGTATGTTGAATGTATTACTCATTCAATAAGCCTTTACTAAGGATCTCCTATGTGCCAGAAACTGAAAATTCTAGAACAGAGAAATGGCATGGTCAGACCTGTGCTGAAGGAATAGTAATTTTTTAGTTGTGTACAAGCTGGATTGGAAAGGGAAAAACTTCAAAGAAGGGAGATGAATCAGGAGGGTACTACAATAGTAGATAAAATGGTGAGATAAAAGTTTAGTGAGAAGAGAGGAATGATGAGAAAGTTGTGGATATAGAACTTAACTGATTATATATGAAGAGAGAGGGACAAAGAAAAGTTGAAAACTGAGGCTGCAAAGCTGATTAACTGGAAGGATGATGATACCCTCAACAGAAAAAAAGAAAAGAAAAAGCTTGGAACAAGAGAGCTGCCAAAGTGATTTTCCTAAAGCAGGATGATAAAACATTTCTGACATTTAAAGTCCTTCACAACCTGGCTCCAACATCCTTTTCAAGCCTTAAAGATTACACACTTTCATAAGCTCACAGTCCAATCTAACTAGCCTTCATGCTGTTCCTTACATACACCACTCCCATCTTCTGTCTCTGTCTTTGCACTGCCTGACTTACTCCTCATTTCTAGCTTTTAGTATCCTGTTTCCTTCAAGACTCACCTCAAGTAACATGTTCTACATCAAGTTTTTCCTTACCCTTCACTCCCCCACAGCCTCCCCGCCACCAGAGTCCTCCTTGCACATTAATTTGTGTGTCTATGTATGTGTGTGTATATATGTACACACACACCCAACTGAGTTATCTATGTATCTATCTTCATCTATATCCTCTACAGAGTTATGTCCATGTTGTTTCCCCCAATAGAATGTAAACTCCTTAAAGGTAGGGACTACTTCTTTTTGTACCCCTGTGCTCAGTCTCTGGTACACAGTAGGTGTTGAATAACTCCTTGTTGATTGATATTAAGGTTGCCTTTTAGTGGTCAATTTTAGGATACTTATTTTTTGGTGAAGATACCTGAAACAGAACATATTTACTTTAACTCACAATTTATCGAGCCGATGCCTGGGGAAATCTTATGCTGTTAAACTATAAATATGCTCTGGCATCCTAGGGATATCTCAGCTAGTATCTTCCACATCAACCAGTCAACAAGCATTTATTAAGCAAGTACTACGTTTCCAGGCACTGTGCTAAGCATGGGGGATGCAAAGAAAGGTAAAAAATATTCCCATTTTTTAGTCATGAGTTTGATCATAATTAGACTCTCCATGAATAATAGTCCTTGATTTTAATACGCCTCTAGAATGAAACATGAAACATGCCTCTAGAATTTTAGTTATTCTAAGGTAAAAATACCTATCAGGCTTTTCCCAAATGACCTGTGAAGTCCCTTCTAGCTCTCAGTCCATAAGCTTATGTATGCTCTCAACACTTTACTACTGATCAAAGCATATGTCAAAGCATATATCCTGAGGTCGCTCTTAAAGAAGGTACCAACCTGGTTGCATAAAGAGAAGTCCCATCACTTCGCATTACAGTGCAGCTCAAGGAAGGGTCTCCTTTTCCAGAGAGATCTACTATGGCTGTTCCTTTTCTAGAAATGCAAAAAGTAGAACACTGAAATAATGTATGAAACTATGAAATCCAACATATATGATTTAATAGCTTAAAATTCATTGCTTAACAGAATAAAATTCCAGTTGTTCTCTTAGAAATCTAAAAGCTAGTATATGTGGAGATTCTTCCCACTCCCACCAAAAAAATACCGTTTCTAACATGAAACCCTTAACAATATTCAATTTCAGTTCCAATTATTGATACAGAAGATGCCTCAGATATTTACTGGTTGGATGACCCTGGATGAGCTACTTAAATTCTCTTTGTCTCAGTTTCTTTTCCTATAAAATGGGGATAATAATAGTACCTACCTCCCAAGGTTTGGAAGGATCAAATGAGATAATCATAGTGTGCTTAGTACACTGCCTGGCACACAGTAAGCACTATATGTTAGCTATTATTTAATGGAATATTATTGTGCTGTAAGGAATGAATATGAAGCCTTGAGAGAAACAGGTGGACTTACATGAAATGATGCAGAATGAGGAAAGTAAGACCAGAAGACTATAAACAATGACTACAATGTAATCAAGTCAATCCTCAGAGACAATAAAACTCTGATCAATGTTAGCACCATATTATCAAAGGTGAAAGATAAATCCTTTCTATTAAGGATGAATAAACTAGCTTTCAGAGAATATACTTTGTAAGGTGGTTTGTTTGGGTATTTGTCAGCAAATTTCTACTGTGTCAAAACATAATCAATAAACTTTAATTTTTTAAGAAAACACACTATTCTTAAAATTTCCTATTTGTAAAGTAATATAGCAACCAAGTGATAAGAAAGATAACCATGTACAACAAGACAAAACAATGCAGTTTTTCCAATGACTGTAATATCTAATATTCAATATTAGATTGATTTCCATCATTACTCCAAGGTACTGACAAATGTAAAGTACAAACTAAAACACCAGAAAACCAATCAACAATTATTTATTAAATACCTAATATGTACCAGTTACAGTACTAGACAATGGAGATAAAAATCAGAAATGCAACCCAGCTCTTAATAAGCTTACAATTTATTAGGGGAAAAAACATGCACATAGACATATGCAAAATATATCCAGTATATTTTATATATTTTTGTACAATATATACAATTCTTTTCTTGGTGGTAATAGTGGGGATACTAATGGAGGGGATCAGAAAAGACAATGTGTAGAAAGTATTGTTTAAGTTTAGCTTTGAAAGAAATTATGTATGCTAAGAGGCAAAAATGAGGAGGAAGGGCATTCCAGGCATGGAGGACAGTCTATGCAAAGACACAAAGATGTGAGCAATGAAGTCAATTTTGCTAGACTGTAGTATCCATGATGGGGGAATAATGTATAGTAAGACAAGCTAGATCCAGGTTGTTAAGGATTTTAAATGTCTAACAGAAAAATTTGTTCTTGATCCTAAAAGTATAAGGAGCCATTAGAATTAACTGGGGGGGAATGGCATGCTTAATGCCTTCTTGAGGGGATAATTCACTTTGATTTTGTGCTGTTAAAATTAACTTATATAACATTTTACAATTATAAACAAGTACAGACATGATCTCAGTCAACTGTTTCATCAACCCTGTGAGCTAGGTAGCATGGTAAGCATTATTATTCAATTTTTAAAGAAGAATAAACCAAAGCTCATAGAGGTTAAAGACTTTGATCCAAAAGACAAAGCTAGAAAGTGGTAGTTCAGAGTTGGAAAAAAAAAAAGCCTTCTGATACCAAGTCTAGATCTCTTTCCAGTCAATCAATAAGCAATTATTAAACTCCTTCTAGGTGCCAGGCATTGTGCTAAGAGCTAGAGATACAAACAAATGCAAAAGACAGTCCTTTCCCTCAAGGAGCTCAGAATCTAAAGGGAGAGATAAAAGCAAACAAATATGTGCAAACAAGTTACATACAGGAAAAATAGGAAGTAATTTACAAAGAGAAGGCACTAGAATTAAAAGGGATTAAGAAAGGATTCTCATATAAGGCGAGACATTAATTGGGACTTGAAGGTAGGGAAACCAGTAGGAAGAGATAAGAAGGAATAGTGTTCCAGGGATGGGGGACAGCCAGAAAAAATTTCCAGAGCTGAGAGATAGTAACTTGTTTGGGTAACCATAAAGACACCAGTGTCAATGGACTGAAGAATATGTGTGCGTGAAGAGTATAAGACACAAGAAGAATGGAAAGGTTTGGGAAAGGGGGTAGTGGTCCAGAAGGTGCTAGGTTATGAAGGGCTTTGGATGACAGAGGATTTTGAATCTGATCCTGGAGGTGATAGGAAGTCAATGGAATTTATTGAGTATGCTGCCACCTAATCTAGCAAACTAAAGCTATTCATAATATAACAATAATAATATTCATAACATATAAGCTGTTCATAATTAAATAATAACTGAATGCTTTGCTTTTTATAAAACAATATGTGTAGTGTTTTATAAATTACAGAGCATTTTAAAATATATTAGTACAACTGACTCTTACAATAATCCTATGAAATAGTTATTAAACATCACTCAAAACACCAACAAGCAATTTTTAAACACTAACACTTCAGGCACTATGTTAAACTCTGAGAATAAAAAGAAAGGCAAAAACATGGTTCCTGCAGTCAAGGAGCTCACAGTCCAATGGGGAGGTCAAACTGCAAATAATTATATACAAAGAAGATACACACCTACACTGACACCCAAAAACTTAAATGGAGCTAAGTTTAGAGGGCAACTAGGTAGCCCAGTGCGTACAGTGCTGGGCCTGGAGTCAAGAAGATCTGAGTTCAAACCTGTCTTCAGAACCTACATTAGTTGTGTGACCCGAGGCATGTCACTCATCCTCTGCCTCAGTTTCCTTTCTGTAAAATGGGGATAATAATAGCATTTACCTCCCAGGGTTGTTATATCAAATGAGATAATATTTGTAAAGTGCTTAGCACAGTGCCTGGCACACAATAGGTGCTATATAAATGCTTATTCCTTTCCTCTGTAGCATAACTGCCCTATCATGCTCTCTAACTATAGGTATACCCAAGTGTCCTGGGCCCTCTTCTATTTTATTCATTTTATCTTAGTGACATGATCAGTTTTCCTGGGTTTAATTTTGATCTCTATGCAGAGAACTCCCAGATCTATATTCAGCCTTAGTCTCTTTTCTGAGCTCCAGTCCAGCATCATTGATCACCTCTTGGACATTTAGAAATGGATGTCCTGTAGACATCTGAAACTGAGCATATCTAAGGCAGAATTCATCTTTTGAAGTTGTTTTTATTACTACTAAGGATATGACCAACTTTCTAGTTTCCCAGGTCACCTGTGACTTCCTGGGCTCCCTCACCCTTATGTCCAATTAGTTGCCAAGTCTTGTCCAATTTACCCCCAGAACATTTCTCCCCTCCAAGCTCTTTTCTTCAATCTATTCTCTATCTGGGCCACCGTCCCAGTTCAGATTCTTATCACCTCTGACCCAGACTCTTAACTCAATGGATGCCTAATTGGTGTCCCTGCCTCAAGACTCTCCCTTTTCCAATCCATGCTATAAAAAGCTGCCAAATGATATTTCTAAAGCATATCTCTGATCATGCCACTGCCCTCCTTATACTTGAGGACAAAATGGTCATCATCAACTTAAGAGGAATAAAGGAAGGTTCCCTAGGATATACAGTTTGACTTGGGCTACTCATTATCTCTAGAGTTAAATACAAATTTTTATAAATTCCATTTAAAACTCTTCACAATCTCGCTCCAACCTACCTTTCCAGCCTATTACTATCCTCTTCATACAAGCTTTTTACTGGCCTTCATGCACTCTATGGTGCAGTCAAAGCCAGAAAGACATGGATTCAAATCCCACCAAGGACATTCACTAGCTGTATGATCCTAGGAAAGTCACTTAACCTTTGTAAGCCTCAGTTTCCTTAGTTGTAAAATGGGGACAATAGTTCCTAGTTCACAAAATTGTTGTGAAACTCTAATGAAATAATATTTATGCAAGGTATTTTACAAACCTTAAAGTGCTACATGTTAGCTATTTTTATTTGCACAATCTGTCCTCCATGCCTAGAGAACACTACTTCCTTACCTACTCCTCTAAGAATTCTTAGTTTCCTTCAAAGGTCATCTCATGCGCCACCTTCTACATGTGGCCTCTCTTGATACCTGTGGTGGCTAGAGTTTTCTCTCACAAAAAATTATCTTGTACATACCACGCTATCTCCTCTAATAAAACGTCATCTTCTTCAGGGCAAAGACCATTTCATTGCTATTCTTGTATCTTCAGTACCTGCATTATGCCTGGCACATAGGAGGCATTTAATAAACACTTGCTGATTGTCTGATTATGCTATTAAAGAGCTGTGTGACATCAGGCAAGTTAGTTGGTTTCCTCAGCACAAAATGGGAATAACATCCATTTTTTACTGGGTTATTGCGTATGTATGATATCACTTCAAAAAATCAAGAGTACTTCATTACTAAAAGAATACATACATTTCAAAGTGTACTACATAATGAGCAAAAAAAAAAAAAATATTTTGATCATACTTTGTTCTTTGTAGGAGTCCTTTCTTGTCCAACAACCTTAAGACTTCCCGGTATTTCTCTCGATAAAACGATTCTCCTGAATATTCATCAAAATGCACTCCTAGCCTCTACAAAGTTCCAGAAACAAAACAGTCAGGATAAAAAGTAAAATTTTACTCCAGGGGTGGGGTACCTACAGCCTCTGAAGCCACATGTGGCCCTTTAGGTCCTCAATTGCAGACCTTTGACAGAATCCAAACTTCACAGAACAAATCCCCTTAACAGAAGAATTTATTCTATAAAACTTAGACTCAGTCAAAAGGCCATAGCCATGGACCTAGAAGGCCACATGTGGCATCAAGGCCAGAGGTTCCTCACTCCTGTTTTACTCTTTCTAAGATAGGGGTCGTCTTACCATCCCATAAAAGGCCAAAAGAAGAAAACTTGATTTACATTTAAACAAAACAAAAAATTAGGCTGGTGCTCTAATCTACCAAAGAAAAGAAAAAGATTCCATATAGTTAGGTCAAGAATGCTATAGAAAAAAATCTTAAAAAATCAATGCTGAAAACTAAGAATAAATAAATATATTTTTAAATGCCAAAGAAATGGTATATTCACATTGCGCAAAAGATAAGAATCAGATGTTTTCCTTAAGAACAACTTATCTTAGGGGCAGTTAGATGGCGCAGTGAATAGAGCACTGGCCCTGAAGTCAGGAGGACCTGAGTTCAAATATGGCCTCAGACCAAACACTTGACACTACCTGTGTGACCCTAGGCAAGTCATTTAACCCCAACTGCCAAAACAAAAACAAAAACAAACAAACAAAACACACACACTAAAAAACAACTTATCTTATTGCCCAATGTGCTGGAGGTCTAATAATGGGAACTTTAGGGGCAGTTATTCTTTTATACATAAATGGATGATACATTGGAATGGGATATTCAAGAAGGTAAAAAAACATACAATGAAGGCCATGACATTTGTGTTAATTGAGCTATATTGGGACATCTTGACTTTTTCTTTGAAGCCTATTATAAGTAGATTGTTTTTCTTAATTTTTTTTAATGGTATTGTTAAGTCCTGGTTTCAAGTAATTCCATGAAACATCATAGGTTCACAGATATGGTAATCATGCAAACAAGATGTAATGAACCCATTTAATAATCTGCATGGTTTGAGACGACAAAAAAAAATCAACTTCTGAAGCTCTGAGAGAAAGTGGTTATGTTTGCAAGTATCAGAGGTAGAGTCTGAGGACGAGAAAGTAGGAAAAAAGTGAGAAAAGATGAAAAGAAAAAGGGAAGGAGAGTGGGAGAAGGGGACAAAAAGAGTAAAAGAAGGTGAGGAAGAGGAATTTTAGTTGGAGGGCGACAGTAAATTTGATCTTCAAATTGCTTAAGTGTTACTCAATGTCACTCAAAGTCTAAACAGTAACTCCAGATAGCTGGTTTACCTAAGTGCAGTGGCTCTACTTCATGATGCATCATACTACTATCAGGAGGAGTAGCCTCCACATACCTTGTAAATCTGGACATACTCTTTAATGCTCAAGTCCCGAAATTTTTGCCACAATGAAAGTGCTTGCTTGTCACCTGCTTCCAGTCGATGAAAGAATTCCCGTGCTGATTTCTCCACATTTTCATCATCTGCTGCTTCCTTATTAACTTGTACATAAACCTAAAAATAAAATGGCAGAAAGAAAAGAACACTGATGAATCACTAAAATAATAAACAAAGGAGAGCAGAAGGAAGCTCATTAGGTGACACAGACAAGCAGAGTAGTGGACCAACTTCCTACGAAATGTATAGTCTTTTTCTGTTCTTCTTCCTGTAGGGAAAGATTCATGTTTATCAATGTTGGTCAAGCTCATGATAATAAAAAAGAAAATTTAAAAAATTACATTAGATTACTGTCAACTCTAACAAGGAAAACAACAACAAAAAAACCAAAGAGAGAAAACAAATCACTATTACATAGCAATGCTCACTTGAAGCTTACTAAAGCAGGCTGACTACATAGCTTAAACTAAGCTAGTACTGCCTCTTTTTTTCAAAATGCCAAGTTAATTTTTCTGCTAATACTCTGGGAAAAGGTTAAAGGAAGTGAGGGTATTCAACCTAGAAAAAAGAAGGCAGATAATTATTTTTATGGAGATTTTGGCTGACTAAAAGGAAGATCTTTTGACTTTAAGATTAATACAAATATTAGAATGTACCAATGAGAGACAGTATGGCATCTCACTTCCCGGACAAAGTAAGGGACAACAATCTGTCTTAGATGATTTAGTCATTCACTGACCCAGCTGAATCTGTCTGACTATAGGTGAATAATGAAATATACACATTCAGATATAACCAATATACGAATTTAGCTTTTCTCAATGTTTATTTGTTACAAGGGAAGATTTATTTATTTATTTTTTTTTGCAGAGGGAGAACTGTAGGGAGGAATGAGCTGGTGAGATAGCAATGAAAAAAAGAACGAAAACATTAATAAAGCATTTTTTAAATGGACAGAATGGAGGAGAAGATATTTCAGTAAAAGACACAGACAAGTAGGACAGCTTTGAAACTAGAGTGTTGACTATATCATACAACTGCCCCTCCTTCCCCATAAGAATGACTACTTTTAAAGTCAAGACCAAACACTATCTGGCTTTTTTCTACTCCTTATATGCCAACATTCCATCTCCTATCTCCATACTTTTACACTAACCATTTCATGTGCTTGGAAAGCACTCCTTTCTTTTCTCTGCCTCAAAGAGTCTCTTTCCTTAAGATGCAGTTCAAGCACTGTCTTCTGCATGTTTTGTCCCCACCCCCCCAACTGTAAATGCCCTAACTACCTTATATAAAACTGCTTTGTACATATTCACATTTATACTGATGCTGTATTTATTTTTATATGTACTTGTACCCATTAGAACATAAAGTCCTTTTGAGTGCGAATTCTTTTACTCATTGTAGTTATATCAAGCCAGCAAGTATTTAGGCAATTAAAGCACTTAGTATACACTAAACACAGAGAAAGGCAAAAAATGGTACTAGCCTTTAAGAAACTCATGTTGTTAATGGGGAGGACAGCGTGCAAAGAATCTGTTCAAAAAATACACACAGGGTATACTGGGAGTAATCTCAGAGGGAGGAAAGATTTATTAAACACCTAATATGTACCAGGCACTGAGCTAAGTGGTTTACAAATATTATCTCATTTGATCTTAACAACCTTGGGTAGTAGATGCTATTATGATCTCCATTTTACAGTTGAGGAAACTGAGGTGGAGAGAGGTTACATGACGTGCTCAGGGTCATGTAGTTAATAAGCGTCTGAGAAGGAACTTGAATCCAGTGCTCTATCCATTGCACTACCTAACTGCCTCAAAAGGCTTCTTATGGAAAGTAGGCTTTTAGCTGAGACTTGAAGGAAGCCAAGGAAGTGAGGAGCTGGGGTTGAGGAAGGACAGCTTTGGGGAAAGCCAGTGAGAATGCATTTAGAGTATCCCTAGCACTTAGCAGAGTTCCTGGAATCTAACAGTAAGCACTTAATAAACATCTGTTGACTGATCAGTGGTGACTCTTTCCCTGTCAGGTAGAGCAATTTGCTTATATCTCTAACATAATTTATTATTATGATTATGATATAACTTCAGTTATTTATGTATATAATATGCCCTTACTACATACAAAATTCCATGAGGATAAGAGGAACACATCATCCAAATTTTGTATCTTAGCCAGTGCCTAACATTATATAAATATTATTTTACTAAAGAAAAATAAAAGGGCAGAAATGTGGATAAGCTGTAGATTTCCTGGTTCCTGGCCTAACCATCTTCCTACTGCTAATAATAGACTGTGATTATTTGTACACTGTCTATCTTTCACACATATTGCTTTATACATGCTATATTTAGACTTTAAAAAAATGCCAAACCAAAAAATATTCCTCTCAAATTTCAGAACTATCAAAAGATGCTGGAAATATTTATTTGAAACCCTAAAGCAAGATTCCTGAAATTGTATTGATTAGGTAACTGCATATCTATTAATTTAGTATGCCCAAAGATACCAGAGGGTATAGTTTTAGAAACCTAAAAATGAAAATTCCTCTAGTTGGTTTTGCTTTCTTTAAGTTGAAGGTAAAAATATCCCACACCTCCCTCTTCCACCCTCTAAAAACCTCCCAAATCCTTCCTGAAACCATTATAACAAGATTAAAGAATGCTAGCATTTGTTTAAACTGCAGATTACTTAAAATCAAAAGACGTATAATATCAACCAGCACAACTGGCTAACCAAGTAGGCATTTATCAAACTGCCTGTAACATTAAAAAATGTGAGGCTAATTCTATTAACATTTATCACAGTTTGGGAGAAAAATATTCTTGTTCTATGAAACAGCTTTAACGAGATGCAGCTCTAAAATAAAAGGTGTGGGTTTTTAATTTACACTTGACACAAGCCCTTTCTTGGAGAAAATCATCTTTGAAGGTACCTTTGTTTTCAGATGTTTCCTTTGTTCTGAAAACAAAGGAAATACAGGTGAAGTTATTAAATGATAAGTTTGACATTGAGACAGATATGGTTTAACAAAGTTTTATATGAGAGCTAGAATTTTCTTTAATTACTAAAATACTAAACCAATTATACAGTTCTTTTATTCCTTCTTAAAAAGAATGCTACCTCTCATTTGTCAAGATTAAAAGATGAAAACACAGAGAAAGCATTGGCCACTTAAGCAAAATAGAAATAAAAACACCATAGCTATTTGTTAGATAATCTGATACTAAGGGTGTAGAGGCCCAAGTAAGCTAAAACAGCAGCTAATCTAAAAAAATCACTTACAAAATTTTGGAATGCCATCAGACATCCAGGCTCAAACCTATTTTGTCTGGCCTTAACCCCTTTTCATCTCATCTCTATTCATTCAAGGAGCAGCTGCTAGGCACAATTAGAAGAATACACCACATTTATTCAAGTATAGGCTGCAACTCTAAAGGGAAGTATCTTTGGCAGCAGAACTAGGAAAACTATCTATATACCGGTAATAACATTACGAAGAAAAACAACTTTTACAGACATCAGAACTCTGATCAATGCAACGATAAATCATGAGTCCAAAAGAATGAAAATGAAACACACCATTCACCTCCTGGGCAGTGAAAAACTTAAAATGCAGAAAGAGACATTTTCCAGACATAGCTAATGTGGCAATTTGTTTTGCAGGATTATGCAGCTATGTATCAAAGGCTTTATTTTTCAGGTTTTTTTTTTAAAATTTGCTCAATCTGGGAGTCAGAGGAAGGGATGGATTAATTTTCCAAATGTTTTGTTAATTGAAATAAGCAGAATAAAAAGAAAACCTCTAGGCTATAATCATGGCTAGATGTGGGACAATGGACTGTTTGTGAAAGGAACACTTAATAATATCCAATGTGAAAGCATGGTTTCATATTGAAGAATTAAAGAATATGGGTCAATACCATGTGAACTCAATAACAAATTGTACAAAACAAGTGACTGCAGCAAAGGCAAATACTACTTAATAAAAAACATTTTTTAAGTAAAACAAAGAAAATGAGATATCTTTGGGAGGGAAATATGAAAGTATTAGAAGGAATACTTGGATTTAGAGTTAGCAGACTGGAGTTTGAATCTTAGCTTTACCTTAGGCTCCCCTCTCTTCCAAACTGTTCCTAAGTCCTAACTGGCCTTCTGACTTAAGTCTCTCTCCTTCTCACATAGCTGCAAAAACGGACATTCCTAAAGCACAGACCTAACCAAGTTAGACCCTTGCTAAAGAAGCTTCAGTGGCTCCCTACTGGTTCCAACCTGCCATTTCAGGTTTATTACACACAGTTTTTCTTCACTCACCGTTCCTTTATTTGACATTCTATCTCCGTTCCCTTATTTTTGCACAGGCTGCCCCCAGGACTGGAACGAACTCAGTCTCTGGTTCTACCTCGTAGAATCCCTACTAGCTACCTTCAAAGTTAAGCTTAAGTACCACCTCCTCACACCTTTTTGGTATCTCCCAGTTGTTAGCTTTCTCCCTCTGAAATTACTTTGCATCTACATTGTAGTTACCTATACGTGTAGCTGCTAGGTCATTCCTGATAGATAAGCTCCCTGATGGACTACATGGTCCATGGTACACAGGAGGCACTTACTAATCCACATTTAGCCTTTACACAAGCCACATCTAAGGGTTGTGTGGCTATTTTTTTCATCAACATAGCAACTCTCACCCTCACTGTGGGTATTTCCCAAGGTTTTGTCCTAGGTCCTTCCTCTCCTTTTTTCCTTCAGCTTCTACAGGCTTAATTATTTCTTTCCTGATGACTGTAAAATCTATACTCAGGCTGATATTCTAAGTTTTAGTTCCATGTCACAAACTGCCTATTGAATATCTCATACTCAACATGTAAAAAAACAACAACAACAACAAACCAAAACACTATCATCTTTTCCCCCCAAAAATAAACCCTTTTCCAGATTTCCCTATTTTTGTCATAGGCACATTCTTCCAGTCACCTGCTACTTTTCATTTAATTGTTTTGCATTTATTTCCCTCTATTTATCATATATATACTTATTTATGAACTTGTTGCCTTCCCCTATTAGGATGCCAGTGCCCTGAGAGGAACTATTTCATTCTTGGCACTGAAGGTGATTAA